TCATTTTGTTATGCAAAGATTTTCACATTTTCACCATAGAAGAAAACGTGACCATTTTCATGTATGGAGAAATCAAAATACACTTAGGCATTTTTATTGAATCATGCGCGGATGCAAATATGTTAGCCTACTTAGTCACTTGCATCATGTAGCAAAATCAATAATGGATAATCATATTTCAATGCTTTATACCTATTATTCCTATCAACTGAGATGATTATAGGCAGGTGTTTCTCTGTTCTGCTATATGGTGTGGATACCCTACTGGATGGCCTGTATTGTGCTAGCTGCAATCTTCTCCTGCATATACCTGGCCCTATTTCTGGCCATGACAATATCTGTGTGCAGGCTTCTCATGATTATCAAGGTATGTTATCAAATTATACTCCATAATCTAGGTATGTCATATTCTACACCATGAAGTTAAATAGATTTAAATATTTTAGTTTGATAATATGATTGAGCTTGAGCCGGAACAGTTGTCCAAAAGGACTGTTCTATGCCTGCTCGTCATGGTCATGCTTCTGATGGTTTACCCAACCTACGCTGTCTACACCACTGGTAGGTGAACTGCTTAACCCTGTAAGGGCAAGGGAAAGAGCAGAAAAATTGTACATTGTGCATTGTGTACAATTCATATGCATTGCACCTTAAATCTCTATACTTTTCCACTTTTCCAAGGCAGTGCAGGCAATTCACAAACTTATAATCCTTTATTCTTTAATGGCTTTAAAAATACAAATTAATGAGTTTTGAATGTATATTAGGTCATGTGTCGCCACCAGTTCAGTTCTTCACAGGACTGGAAGGCTCAGAGTGGATCAATCCTTACCTGACAGTTGGCCTGGCTCTTGGACTGGTTAGTATCCCCCTCACCATAGGACCATATATATATGGAAAGTACTATCTCAACAAATACCACGCTATCAGGAACATTTAAAAACATGAGCAAAAGGGAGATTTCTTGAAAATTTTATTTGCGATGAATAAACTGTTTTAAAGAGTGACATGGCGAGGTAAAGGGTAGTTGAGCTCAGAGTGCATTTCTATTATACAAAATATTAGAATTCATCTAATAGTAATAAGATGTCTTTATGTCTACCTTTCTCAATGTATTTATTCTGTACCAGTTTGAAACCAATTTTCTGGGAATTAGTGCTACTGCTCTGAGCAGACAGATCTTGCATTAACTCACAGGAATTATAAAATCAATTACAAGAGTTCATTTTTATTTTCTCCGCCTAATCCTAAACTTAGCAAATTATGGTAACAATCTTACTATATTTTACGTCCAGAGCTGAAAACTTTAGAATTGGATCATTTCAATCCCGATCGCTTTATCTGAATATTAAAGTGGACACTTTTAATTTTCTTCTATTTTTGTTTCTTTTTCTACCTCTGTCAGTTTCCGACCAATAAGAGTTCACTCATTAATTGGCGCGCAAAATTTCAAATTTTCCTGCTTCTCTGATTGGCTGTTTTGGCTTCAGTGGCTCAGTGACACAGTGTCACTGTCTGTATCTTTAAAGAGTAAAAGTAAAAAATGCATACTAAGGTTTAAACTAGGATATGGCCCTTCATACCACACAATATTTCATATGTACCTTACTGAGATGATGTGTATATCAAGGGAGCCATGCCCTTTAATATACTAAAGCCCAGGTTCATCTATATATAAATTTGGCTTGTCTGTCTGTCTGTTTGTTTGTTTGTATCCAATAAACGTCAAAACGGCTGAACCGATCGGGCCCAAATTTTTTGTGGGACATCTAGGGACCCCAGGGAAGGTTTATGAAAAATCAAAATTTCAAATATTTGTCTCTATCAAAATTCGATCGTCATTAAATTTTTAAAAATTTTGAAAATCCGCGAACTTTTTTGTAAAAATCCGCGAATTATTTTTGTTTTGTTTTACGATGTACACAAAGAGAACATGTTCACAACTAATTTAGAAGATGGGCGCGAAGCGCCCTCTAAGGCTAGAAAGAAGGGCGCGAAGCGCCTTGAATTTCTAGTTCATTATAATATGCCTCTTTGAGTTGAAGGATTGTAACATTGTTCATATTAAAATTCACTCTCTGATGGTAGTAAAAGTAGTTCAACCAAATTCAATTATTAAGTATATTTTTGGTTGTTGCTAGTGGCTTAAAATAATCTATTATAAAACTTCATGTAAGCCGTGTTTTTAATGAGATCTTTGAAGTCTGAATCTAGAGGGATCATTGAAGAACATTATGGACATGAAATCTATCATTCCAGCCATTGTTCTCCTCGTTCTCATTGGAATTCTAGCCGTGTTCTTACGCGATATGGATCATAGGAACATCCCGTTCAATGAAGTCTTGACGATCACTCTATTCACCGGGTATCTTGTCCAGTTCACCCAAAACCCAGAAATCAAAGAGTTTTTCTTTCACAAGGTGACTCAGAAGAAAACCACCCTGAAAGAGAAATTAAGCGGATACAAAGAGTCCATTCAGAAAATCAGACAATCCAGAGTAGGGGTATCTAATGTTGTGTAGAATCCAGAGTAGGGGTACCTAATCCAGAGTAGGGGTATCTAATCCAGAGTAGGAATATCTAATCCAGAGTAGGGGTATTTAATCCAGAGTAGGGGTATCTAATCCAGAGTAGGGGTATCTAATCTAGAGTAGGGGTATCTAATCCAGAGTAGGGGTATCTAATCTTGAGTAGGGGTATCTTATCCAGACTAGGGGTATCTAATCCAGAGTAGGGGTTATATCTAATGTTGTATAGAATTCTAAATTATCAAAAGGATTATTTGCCTATCATAAAATACTCAAAATAATATGGGGCAAACCACTAGATCATATTGTACGACTTGCACTTGTGCGTAAAATCAAAACTATAGGAGTTATGTGGTAACAAGGTTGTTCCAGAAATGTTGCATAAATTTTACCTTCTCCTTCTGAATGTTAATTGTGTGATTTTCACTTATGTCTCCTAATGTAAACTGTTTTACAAGACTCAAAAATGTGCCCACAAAAAAAAAGACTATCAATACAGTGTTCGATTTGTTTGTCAAGTCTGGGCCAAATCATTTATAAAACTGTGTCCCTTTAAATCTGAAGAAAAATTAATTTTTTAATTGCACTATAACCTTTTTAATATAACAAGTATCATGCATTGACTTTAAAGGAAGTGTTCGCGAAAAATGAAATGAAATTTTCTCAGATGATTACCACTAGAATAAAATAATCTTTATCTATATATAAATTTGGCTTGTCTGGGTGTCTGTTTGTTTGTTTGTATCAAATAAACGTCAAAACGGCTGAACCGATCGGGCCCAAATTTTTTGTGGGACATCACGTGACACAGGGAAGGTTTATGAATGATAAAAAAAAAATTTTAAATGAGTTTTAAAGGTTTTTAATTTTGTAAAAAAATTTAAATTCTTGAAAATCCGCAAATTTTTTCTTCTTTGTTTTAAAATGTAAACAAAAAGAACATGTTCACAATTTAAATAGAAGATGGGCGCGAAGCGCCCTAAAAGCCTAGTTAATCTAAATATGTATTATCTATCTTTTCATATTTATCTATTAATGTTTAGTTGTTTTATTAAATAAACTAATTATAAAAATGTAATAAGAATATTGAACTTATTTTTTCTAATATCTTTGCAACCAGTGAAGGCTTACGAATAGTATGAACATAATTTGTATTTTTACTTGGCATTTTTGGGGGGAATGTAAAAAAGAATGAAAGTTTTTTCCTGATCGGTCAAAAAAAGTGCTCAATGTTTGTAATGAGGAATATCCTTGTAACCCATGGTATTTGTTTCTAATTGAACCATTTAAAATTATTGAGAATCGAATTGAGTCAGGAATCAAAATGTAAAATCAAAAGAAAACTTTCTAATTTTTCATTTTTGAGACCTACTTTTGATATTTCAAACTATGATATCTGATTTGTTAAATGCTCAAACTCTGACATATAAGAGGTGTACACCGTCAAATTACGAAGATATAAGTAAAAGTAAAATAGTTAATGGAAAGTAGCAGCTGTTTTCTCAAATAGATTTATAGCCGAAAACATAATATTGAAATTTTTTTAATATTTTATTTAAATAGTTGTTAAAATATCCTTAAAAATGAAATACAATAAATAAATCATGCTGCTATAGATAAAGATTAAGAAATTAGATTAGTCATCAGACTAATAAGCAGGATTTAAAAAAACAGTGTTTTTTTTAAACCCAGCCCAGTGGGTTTTAATAGGTTTTATTGGTCTATTCATAGTAATAAGACTAGTTAAGCAATAGGTAAACTTTAGAATTATGAAAAATAATAATATTATTGTGATTTTCAAATCCTTAACTCTTACCTTATCTTAACTTATCTTATAATCCCACATAAATACTCATCAAATAAAATTATTTCACATTTCTCCTTCATATGGGGAACGCTGCAATTTTTCCTATCATAGTTCTATAAATTTCAGAATAATTCTATTTTCTCACTTGGATACATATTTCTGATTTGGGGTTGGGCTTCTCAGATTAATCGGTAGACATTTTTCTGCTCAAGAAGAAATACCACTGCTTAATTCCGTAAAACATCAGCTCATTCAAACATAAAAATTACAAAGGGATTTTATATCCTTGTTCTATCGCATCAAATTTTGAAAACTCTGATGTTATAGTTCTGTTTATCTTCTTGGGGTTTATCAATATCTTTCTAAACCAGAAACCGTCTTGAAGTTCATAGCGACAAGGTTGACTACTTAGTTTAATCCAATATTCTTTTTGAAATAACACCACATTCGAAAAATATTCGTTTTGTTCAGCTGATCATTGGTTTAAATCTTAGAAAATAAATAAATGTATCAGTTTTATCGCTGTAAACTCCTAAAATCCAGTTGATAGTAGACTTAATTTCTTGAAGAGTTTTATCATTATAAGAGTTAAAAAAAACAAGAATTAGAAAAACTCTAAAAAACCATGAACCCAAAAAAGCTCACTTACAGGTGTTTTTAAAGTGTTTTTTTTATAACAGCGACCTTCTATTTGTATAAAAAAGCATGAAACTTACAGGTTGTCTTTAATTTTCGTTGGTATTTTTGCATGAAATAATCGAACGCCACTGGCGCCGTTTACGGTAACATTTAAAATCACAGAAAATACCATTAACGTTTCGCCTTGACTAAATAACGAACGGCTACCTAAAATTGTTGTAAACTGTTATTAACAAATGGCCAAAAACAATGGATAAAGCAATTGTGTCTTTGCCACAAACTATGAGATGCAACCCAATGTATAACTTAGATTTTTTAAACTATGAATTTTGGTAGATCAAATAATCTAATTATGAAATATCAAAGGTTTTCACCGTCGGATTGCAATGCAAGGTAATTTCACTATTTTCATAATTTAGTTCACATTTCACTTTTATTTCATTTTTATTCTATCTAAAGTCGTCTTTGTTGGTCTGCTAGATGGTGTCCAAGCTATGCTGCTTTGCCATTGCGTTAGTAAAGCTCATCTTGCTACTCTTATATCTTGCTATTATATTATCATGCTATTGGTTTATCACAAGTATATACAGGATGGTGAATAATCTGAAAAAATATAACTTTTATTTATCTTTAAAAGGAATATACATGAATTTAAAGATAAGTCTAATAATAATATTCATGTACTATAAATTTGACTGATGCCAAGAACTTGAATCAACATGTATTTATAGAGTTTAAAATAATCAAAAAATAAAATGTATTAAATTGTGAATAAGATATTATTGAATGTTCATATAGTAATTGAATTAAAAGTAATCTGTTTTATATAAAAATAAAATATTGTACAAAGGAAATGGAACTGGATGTTATTTACTTTTAGTCAGATTTTTGTTAATTGTTAATGCACTGTCACAGTTCAACTTTGAGCGATTGGTGGATTTTCTGTATCGTTGTTTGGGCATTAGCTAAACCAGACTCAGAGCATTAACTAAACGTAAAAGTAAGTTGAAAAAATAATTATTTTTTGACTTATTAATACTTCTTTCTTTGGATAGAAAAGATAAATTGAATGAAGTAAATTAGCATGTTTATTTACTCTATATATCTTCACTAAGATACTTCAAACCAAAAATATGCTAAGCTCTTTTTGAAAATCTGCTAAGATATCCAAATGTTTGCCAAAAAAATTGAAAATTTGCACATTGAATCATAATAAAAGTTTAAGTGTACTTTCAAGCACTATTTCTGAGAACTCAGGTAGTTGAAAAAAAGGAGTGTGGAGGGGGGGGGGGGGGCAGGGGGAACGGTTCAGTTTTTTATGGATGCCAAAACATGGGGATATTGAGTAATGACCCCTCTCCCTCTTCTCTAGCTGGAAAAGAGCTAATACATATATTTAAAGGAACTGTAAGCGTAATTTTAAGTGAACTTCCATTTATAGAGTGGCATGTCCGATTTACCATGATACCCTTTAAACCTTGATCAAGGATTTCGTAGATATTCTTATTTATATAGCAGGAAATTAAGTGCGAAGAAACCATGCGAGTGTACACTAGCAAGAGGTGTACACTGTACAGTGTACTCTGTAATCTCAAGTCTCCCGGCACTCAATCTTTATTGAGGATGTCTACTTCATCGTTGTCTGGACAAAGGTTTACAGGGTACCATTTTGAATCGGACATGCCTCTCTATAAATAAAGGGTCAATTGAGAATATGCTTACGGTCCCTTTAAAGAGACCTGAATGCCAGCAGGTTTAAAGCCGCTGTGTTGGATCTAACTGTAGATTCTTCCTTCAGCTTCTCCTCTAGAGGAACAGTAGATACTCCAGGATCTTGGACATAGTTATCTTCCACCTAGATATCAATAAATCAATCAATAAATATATCAAGCAATCAGTTAATCAATCAATCAATCAATCAATCAATCAGTCAATGAACAGATGATGCATAGGATCTTGTATATAGTTATATTCTAACTAGATATCAATCAATGAATATTTCAATAAATTCATTAATCAATAAATATATCAATCAATAAATCAATCAATAAATATAGCAATCAATAAATATATCAATCAATCAATCAGTCAATTAATCAATCAATCAATCAATCTATCAGTCAATGAACAGTTGATACGTCGGGATCTTGGATATAGTCATATTCCACCTAGATATCAATAAATCTATCTATCAATCCATCAGTAAATAAATGAACAGTAGATACGCCAGGATCTTGGATATATTCATCTTCCATCTAGATATCAATCAATAAATCATTAAATCAATAAATCAATAAATCAATAAGTCAATAAATCACAGTTGCATCTTAACAGTACCACAAATATTATATACAGGGGTATATTCTACCACACATGTTATAAACAGGGTTATATCCTACCATCTATATTATAGACACAGTTATATCTTACCATTACCACAAATATTATATACAGGGGTATATTCTACCACACATGTTATAAACAGGGGTATATTCTACCACACATATTATAGTAATGGGTGTATCCTACAACACTTATTATGGACAGGGTTATATCCTAGCACACATATTATAGATAGGGTTGTATCTTACCACACAAATTATAGACAATTTTTGTATCCTACCAAACATATTATAGACAGGGTTGTATCCTACGAAACATATTATGGCCTAGATTGTATCCTACCACACATATTATGGACAAGATTGTATCCTACCACACATATTATAGACAGGGTTGTATCCTACCAAACATATTATAGACAGGGTTGTATCCATACCACACATATTATAGACAGGGTTGTATCCTGCCAAACATATTATAGACAGGGTTGTATCCTACCACACATATTATAGACAGAGTTGTATCCTTCTCCTCATCCCTGTCATACCCAGTTCTTATAGTGTCAGGACAGTATTCCTAAAATGTATTATGTATATAATANCTATATATCAGGTTGTATAGTACAGATAGCTAGACATGTACCCACCCTGTACATAACATTATATATGTACTATATATCAGGTTGTATAGTACAGATAGCTAGACATGTACCCACCCTGTACATAACATTATATATGTACTATATATCAGGTTGTATAGTACAGATAGCTAGACATGTACCCACCCTGTACATAACATTATATATGTACTATATATCAGGTTGTATAGTACAGATAGCTAGACATGTACCCACCCTGTACATAACATTATATATGTACTATATATCAGGTTGTATAGTACAGATAGCTAGACATGTACCCACCCTGTACATAACATTATATATGTACTATATATCAGGTTGTATAGTACAGATAGCTAGACATGTACCCACCCTGTACATAACATTATATATGTACTATATATCAGGTTGTATAGTACAGATAGCTAGACATGTACCCACCCTGTACATAACATTATATATGTACTATATATCAGGTTGTATAGTACAGATAGCTAGACATGTACCCACCCTGTACATAACATTATATATGTACTATATATCAGGTTGTATAGTACAGATAGCTAGACATGTACCCACCCTGTACATAACATTATATATGTACTATATATCAGGTTGTATAGTACAGATAGCTAGACATGTACCCACCCTGTACATAACATTATATATGTACTATATATCAGGTTGTATAGTACAGATAGCTAGACATGTACCCACCCTGTACATAACATTATATATGTACTATATATCAGGTTGTATAGTACAGATAGCTAGACATGTACCCACCCTGTACATAACATTATATATGTACTATATATCAGGTTGTATAGTACAGATAGCTAGACATGTACCCACCCTGTACATAACATTATATATGTACTATATATCAGGTTGTATAGTACAGATAGCTAGACATGTACCCACCCTGTACATAACATTATATATGTACTATATATCAGGTTGTATAGTACAGATAGCTAGACATGTACCCACCCTGTACATAACATTATATATGTACTATATATCAGGTTGTATAGTACAGATAGCTAGACATGTACCCACCCTGTACATAACATTATATATGTACTATATATCAGGTTGTATAGTACAGATAGCTAGACATGTACCCACCCTGTACATAACATTATATATGTACTATATATCAGGTTGTATAGTACAGATAGCTAGACATGTACCCACCCTGTACATAACATTATATATGTACTATATATCAGGTTGTATAGTACAGATAGCTAGACATGTACCCACCCTGTACATAACATTATATATGTACTATTTATCAGGTGGTAGCCAGACATGTACACATACCTTTATATTTTTACAGGGTTAGCCACAACATATGATATTTCAGAAACGGCATTTTATGCAGTGTTTTTTTCTTATATCTTTATTTTCTTGCAGCAAAAAAAATGTTCACGCCAAATCGTAAATATACAAATAAAGACTAGAATAAGGCATTAGTTTATATTAGTCATTGAGATAGTCATAATCGACGAATTTATAGTCGCATCCTTTTTAAGTGTAACCCTAACCATTAAGAAAATAAAATTAAGACATTTAACCAATTTGAGACAATTCCTGGGCAATTTTTCTGAAGAAAAAAAATTTACTTAAAAAAATTTGAGATATCAATAACAATTTGTTTTCAAATTCTAACAAAATTTTCAAAATAAAAGAAGCAAATAGGAATTTATTAACGACGACCTTGAATTCTTTGATTAAAACAAATTTAAAGAGTTCAATATATGCAGATGTAGGTCTGAGTTTTAATATCAAGCAAGGAAGAAGTGTAACAGTTACAGGAAAAAATTATTTCCGGAAAAATTGCAGGAAAACGACAAAATAAAAATTCCGGAAATAAAAACTGGACAAACTTTCACTTTTTATCATTATCATTTTAATGTTTAACCAAGGGCTTTCAGAAATAAGAAACGAAATGCTAAGATTATACACAAAAGATGGTCGCGAAGCATCCTTAAAGGGAGTGTTCGCGAAAAATGAAAAGGGGTATAGGCTTAATGCGATAAAAAAGCGCTTTTGATCGCTACTAATCTTACTTCTATCTGTTGCGTCTATAAGGAGAAAATTGTTAAAGACGTTTCATACCGAATAACATGGCGTCCATACAAATTGAGAAAATTGCAACATACGACTGAGACCGTAAAAAAATCTATTTAATTTCAAACAAATCATTCAGATATTACAACCTATAGTCATCGATTATCTTTCGCCACATTTATATATAGTTGATTTTTCATAATATGTTTTAATTGTTATGATCTGAGAGTTACTTATAAAAACATTTATTCCTGTTTCGAAGATTTTCGGTAATGAAGACGACATTTTCATATTTTCCAGGAATATTCGAAAACAAATTGTAAGCTAAATATTATTTTAAAAAAAACAAAATCAAAACTAGTATGAAATATCAAATATATACAATTGTGGCGAAAGATAATCGATGACTATAGGTTGTAATATCTGAATGATTTGTTTGATATTAATTTGATTTTTTTACGGTCTAAGTCGTATGTTCCAACTTCCTCAATTTGTATGGGCGCTACGCTCTTCGGTACGTATGAGACGTCTTTATCAATTTTCTCCTTACAGACGCAACAGATAGAAGTAAGATTAGTAGCGATCAAAAGCGCTTTTTTATCGCATTAAGCCTACACCCCCTTTCATTTTTCGCGAACACTCACTTTAACGTGTTATTATTTGATCAAAACAACTATAACATACCTTGTATAAGGTGTGTCCATTATGGTCTCCTGATGCTTTAAAAAATCCTAGAGAGCCACCCTAACAAACCAAGAAAAAAATGAAATTTAAAAAAAAATACTTTATCCCCAACGCCTCCCTCCCACCCCTGATTTTATTTATAACCTCGATTTGTAAAAAGGTTTCAATTTCGAATAAATTTGGACACAAATTTGAAAATAAAAAAATTGTATATATACAAATTTCCTGCATTCTAAATCCATTATATGTCGTAAAATTTCTGCTAAACGATGAATATTAGTTTCTATGATACATATTACAGAATATGCTACACAGTACAGTGGACTACTCTAAAGTAAAAATTTCGGAAAATTACCAAAAATTAAAAGAAATTAAATATTTTTTAAGTTCATGTTTAGAGAAAAATACATATTGTGAATGTCCGTATTGTAAAATGAAAAGTTAATTATTCAAGTTCTTCTCCCTGATGTTCTCCAATAACTCCAGTAGCAGATATATTTACACTCTCACAGCAAGGGATTTTTACCTAAACACACTGGAAATATGAAAGCGTAATAAAATAAACAGAATTTTTTATAAAAGCAATCCCTACACTTGTTTTTAGATTATCCCTAATTTATGGAAAATTTGATAACTGCGGCAATAAAAAAATCTTATATTATTGTTTTTTAAAGTAAAATTTTAGGTGAAAAACTATTGTTTTTGAGAAAATTTTCACTAATGAATGTGTGAGTTTTATGGTAATTAATATATTTTTTTCAGGAAGATAAGGTTATGAATTTTGTCTAAAATTTTTTTTTTATCGAAGGAAATAACCTGAATGTTTTCTGATCTCGGATTTTCCGTTGTTAACGAGCTTTAACGAAGGGCCGTTGTCAGTCATTAAAAAACGATAATTTTTACAAACGATTGTTTCGTTTTTTGTTTTTTCTATGTCACTTTTAAAAGAAAGCTATCACTTTTCAAAAAAGTGAAAACGATCCATTCCTACCTGCACGTCATAATTATTAAAGGGAGTGTTCGCGAAAAATTAAAGGGGGTATATGCTTAATGCGATAAAAAAGCGCTTTTAATCGCTACTAATCTTACTTCTATCTGTTGCGTCAATAAGGAGAAACTTGTTAAAGACGTCTGATACCGTATAACTTAGCGCCCATACAAATTCAGAAAATTGCAACATCGATTATCTTCGCCGCATTTGTATATAGTTT